TCATCTTCATTTCAATTGCTTTATTTCCACTAGTAGTATTAGTAGTAGTAGTAATATTATCTGCAATTTTCATTAGATCAAGTAGTATTAGTAGTAGTAGTAATATTATCTGCAATTTCATTGTCAAGCATTCTTCATTTTTCACTAGGATTTCTTTCATCTTCATTTCAATTGCTTTATTTCCACTAGTAGTATTAGTAGTAGTAGTAATATTATCTGCAATTTTCATTAGATCAAGCATTGTCAAGAATTCTTCATTTTTCACTAGGATTTCTTTCATCTTCATTTCAATTGCTTTATTTCCACTAGTAGTATTAGTAGTAGTAGTAATATTATCTGCAATTTTCATTAGATCAAGCATTGTCAAGAATTCTTCATTTTTCACTAGAATTTCTTTCATCTTCATTTCAATTGCTTTATTTCCGCTAGTAGTATTAGTAGTAGTAGTAATATTATCTGCAATTTTCATTAGATCAAGCATTGTCAAGAATTCTTCATTTTTCACTAGAATTTCTTTCATCTTCATTTCAATTGCTTTATTTCCACTAGTAGTATTAGTAGTAGTAGTAATATTAACTGCAATTTTCATTAGATCAAGCATTGTCAAGAATTCTTCATTTTTCACTAGAATTTCTTTCATCTTCATTTCAATTGCTTTATTTCCGCTAGTAGTATTAGTAGTAGTAGTAATATTATCTGCAATTTTCATTAGATCAAGCATTGTCAAGAATTCTTCATTTTTCACTAGAATTTCTTTCATCTTCATTTCAATTGCTTTATTTCCACTAGTAGTATTAGTAGTAGTAGTAATATTATCTGCAATTTTCATTAGATCAAGCATTGTCAAGAATTCTTCATTTTCACTAGAATTTCTTTCATCTTCATTTCAATTGCTTTATTTCCGCTAGTAGTATTAGTAGTAGTAGTAATATTATCTGCAATTTTCATTAGATCAAGCATTGTCAAGAATTCTTCATTTTTCACTAGAATTTCTTTCATCTTCATTTCAATTGCTTTATTTCCACTAGTAGTATTAGTAGTAGTAATATTATCTGCAATTTTCATTAGATCAAGCATTGTCAAGTATTCTTCTTTTTTCACTAGGATTTCTTTCATCTTCATTTCAATTGCTTTATTTCCACTAGTAGTATTAGTAGTAGTAATATTATCTCCAATTTTCATTAGATCAAGCATTATAAAGCATTCTTCATTTTTCTCTAGGATTTCTTTCATCTTCATTTCAATTGCTTTATTTCCACTAGTAGTATTAGTAGTAGTAATATTATCTGCAATTTTCATTAGATCAAGCATTGTCAAGAATTCTTCATTTTTCACTAGAATTTCTTTCATCTTCATTTCAATTGCTTTATTTCCACTAGTAGTATTAGTAGTAGTAATATTATCTACAATTTTTATTAGATCAAGCATTGTCAAGCATTCTTCATTTTTCACTAGGATTTCTTTTATCTTCATTTCAATTGCTTTATTTCCACTAGTATTATTAGTAGTAGTAATATTATCTGCAATTTTCATTAGATCAAGCATTGTCAAGCATTCTTCATTTTTCACTAGGATTTCTTTCATCTTCATTTCAATTGCTTTATTTCCACTAGTAGTATTAGTAGTAGTAATATTATCTGCAATTTTCATTAGATCAAGCATTGTCAAGTATTCTTCATTTTTCACTAGGATTTCTTTCATCTTCATTTCAATTGCTTTATTTCCACTAGTAGTATTATTAGTAGTAGTAATATTATCTGCAATTTTCATTAGATCAAGCATTGTCAAGCATTCTTCATTTTTCACTAGGATTTCTTTCATCTTCATTTCAATTGCTTTATTTCCACTAGTAGTATTAGTAGTAGTAATATTATCTGCAATTTTCATTAGATCAAGCATTGTCAAGCATTCTTCATTTTTCACTAGGATTTCTTTCATCTTCATTTCAATTGCTTAATTTCCACTAGTAGTATTAGTAGTAGTAGTAATATTATCTGCAATTTTCATTAGATCAAGCATTGTGAAGAATTCTTCATTTTTCACTAGAATTTCTTTCATCTTCATTTCAATTGCTTTATTTCCACTAGTAGTATTAGTAGTAGTAGTAATATTATCTGCAATTTCCATTAGATCAAGCATTGTCAAGTATTCTTCATTTTTCACTAGGATTTCTTTCATCTTCATTTCAATTGCTTTATTTCCGCTAGTAGTATTAGTAGCAGTAGTAATATTATCTGCAATTTTCATTAGATCAAGCATTGTCAAGCATTCTTCATTTTTTACTAGGATTTCTTTCATCTTCATTTCAATTGCTTTATTTCCACTAGTAGTATTAGTAGCAGTAGTAATATTATCTGCAATTTTCATTAGATCAAGCATTGTCAAGCATTCTTCATTTTTCACTAGAATTTCTTTCATCTTCATTTCAATTGCTTTATTTCCGCTAGTAGTATTAGTAGCAGTAGTAATATTATCTGCAATTTTCATTAGATCAAGCATTGTCAAGAATTCTTCATTTTTCACTAGGATTTCTTTCATCTTCATTTCAATTGCTTTATTTCCACTAGTAGTATTATTAGTAGTAATATTATCTGTAATTTTCATTAGATCAAGCATTGTCAAGCATTCTTCATTTTTCACTAGGATTTCTTTCATCTTCATTTCAATTGCTTTATTTCCACTAGTAGTATTAGTAGTAGTAATATTATCTGCAATTTTCATTAGATCAAGCATTGTCAATCATTCTTCATTTTTCACTAGGATTTCTTTCATCTTCATTTCAATTGCTTTATTTCCACTAGTAGTATTAGTAGTAGTAATATTATCTGCAATTTTCATTAGATCAAGCATTGTCAAGCATTCTTCATTTTTCACTAGGATTTCTTTCATCTTCATTTCAATTGCTTTATTTCCACTAGTAGTATTAGTAGTAGTAATATTATCTGAAATTTTCATTAGATCAAGCATTGTCAAGCATTCTTCATTTTTATTTCACTAGGATTTCTTTTCATCTTCATTTCAATTGCTTTATTTCCACTAGTAGTATTAGTAGTAGTAATATTATCTGCAATTTTCATTAGATCAAGCATTGTCAAGCATTCTTCATTTTTCAATAGGATTTCTTTCATCTTCATTTCAATTGCTTTATTTCCACTAGTAGTATTAGTAGTAGTAATATTATCTGAAATTTTCATTAGATCAAGCATTGTCAAGCATTCTTCATTTTTCAATAGGATTTCTTTCATCTTCATTTCAATTGCTTTATTTCCACTAGTAGTATTAGTAGTAGTAGTAATATTATCTGCAATTTTGATTAGATCAAGCATTGTCAAGGATTCTTCATTTTTCACAAGGGTTTCTTTCATCTTCATTTCAATTGCTTTATTTCCACTAGTAGTATTAGTAGTAGTAATATTATCTGCAATTTTCATTAGATCAAGCATTGTCAAGCATTCTTCATTTTTCACTAGGATTTCTTTCATCTTCATTTCAATTGCTTTATTTCCACTAGTAGTATTAGTAGTAGTAGTAATATTATCTGCAATTTTGATTAGATCAAGCATTGTCAAGGATTCTTCATTTTTCACAAGGGTTTCTTTCATCTTCATTTCAATTGCTTTATTTCCACTAGTAGTATTAGTAGTAGTAATATTATCTGCAATTTTCATTAGATCAAGCATTGTCAAGCATTCTTCATTTTTCACTAGGATTTCTTTCATCTTCATTTCAATTGCTTTATTTCCACTAGTAGTATTAGTAGTAGTAATATTATCTGCAATTTTCATTAGATCAAGCATTGTGAAGAATTCTTCATTTTTCACTAGGATTTCTTTCTTTCTATTTCGTCATTATTGTTAAGTGACGTACATATGATTAAAAATTAGGTAACGATAAATTAATACTAATTACAAGTTAATGATGGCAATAATCCGTTAACATGCAATTTAAATCGGTAGTCGTAAAGTTAATGAATAACTCCACTGTGTATGACGCGCAGATGCGAGTGAAAATATTTAATCACATAATTTCGGAAAACTGTTATATTACTGCGGTGAGCTTGTAGAGTTTAAGAAATTATTATTGGTGAATAAAATGGAGAGTTTTGAGAATAGCCTTTTCCAGAAAGATAGTCAGATGAAATGGATAATGAAAAAGAATTTTAAGTTTCAATAACGACGATGGAGGCTTTGGTGGAATCGGCGCTCAGTGTT